GTCCCCTTTTTGCCCTCCTGATTTTCCTCTTATGTATACTTCTACTGCCTTTATACTCTTCTAGGGATTCACTTGATTCCTGCTGTCTGTATCTGACACATACTTCTTCCTTTTTGTTTTCTTGACCAGGACGTCAATTTCTCTAGTCATCCAGCATTCCCTACATCTACCAACCTTGTCCTTCACCCTGACAGAAACATATTGTTTGTGGACCCTCATTATCCCATTTTTTGAAGGCTTCCCATTTTCTAGCCATCCTTTTACCTGCGAATACCCACCCCCAATTAACTTTTGAAAGTTCTTGCTTCATACCGTCAAAATTGGCCTTCCTCCAATGTAGAACTTTAACTTTTAGATCCAGGCTATCCTTTTCCATCACTATTTTAAAAATAATAGAACTATGATCACTGGCCCCAAAGTGTTTCCCCCACTGACACCTCAGTCACCTCACCTGCCTTGTTTCCCAAGAGTAGGTCAAGTTTTGTTCCTTCTCTAGGTACATGCGCATTCTGAATCAGAAAATTTTCTTGTACACTCTTAACAAATTCTTCTCCAACTAAGTCCTTAACACTATGGCAATCCCAGTCTATGTTTGGAAATTTAAAATCCCCTACCATTACCACCCTATTATTCATATAGATAACTGAGATCTCCTTACAAACTGGCTTTTCAATTTCTAGCTGACTTTTGGTGGCGGTCTATAGTACAATCCCAATAAGATGATCATCCATTTCTTAATACTCAGTTCTACCTAAATAACTTCCCTGGACATTCTCCTAGGAATAGCTTCCCAAACTACAGCTGTAATGTTATCTCTAATCAAAAATGCCACTCCTACTCCTATCTTGCCCCCACACCCCATCCTTCCTATAGCATCCATAAGTTGGAAAATTAGGCTTCCAGTCCTGTCCATCCCTGAGCCATGCCTCTGTAATTACTATGACATCCCAGTCCCGTGTTCCCAACTCGTGCCCTGAGTTCATCTATTTTACCTGTTAAGCCTCTTGCATTGAAATAAATGCAGTTTAATTTATCAGTCGTACCTCTTCCTGTTTTTTCCTGCGTGCCCTGACTGTTTGACTTGCTCCTTTTCCCAACTGTACCAGTCTCAGACTGATCTCTATCCTCATTATCTCCCGGGGTCCCGACTCCTCTTCCTTAGTAGTTTAAATCCTCCCGAGCAGCTCCACCAATATATTAATCCCCTTCCAATTCAGGTGTGATCCGTGCTCCTTATACAGGTCATTTCTACCCCAGAAGAGATTCCAATGATCCAAAAATTTGAATCTTTCTCCCCTACACCAGCTCCTCAGCCACACATTCATCTGCTGTATCCTCCTATTCCTACTGTCACTAGCTCGTGGCACCGGGAGTAATCCAGATATTACCACCCTTGAGGACCTATTTCTTACATTCCTGTCTAATTTCCTATATTCTTTCCTCAGAACCTTGTCCTTTTCTCTTCCTGCGTCATCATTAGTTCTAATGTGTACAACGACCTCCTGCTAGTCCCTCTCCCCTTTTGCGAATGTTCTGGTACCTGGGAGGCAACACACCATTTTGATGTCTTGTTGTCAACCACAGAAATGTCTGTCTGTGCCTCTGACTAGAGAGTCTCCTATCACAATTGATCACTTGGAACCTGATGTACCCCTTGTTGCTTTAGAGCCAGTCTCGATGCCAGAAACCTTGCTGTCAGTATTACCTTCCCCTGAGGATCTGTCACCCCCTACATTTTCCAAAGCTGTATACTTGTTTGAGATAGAGCTAGCCACAGGAGACTACATCACTACCGGCCTACCTCTCCTAGAGGTAGGCCATCTACCTGACTGTGTATCTGCAGTTTATCTACCTTCCTGCAACTGCCACCCATCACACCCCCTAGTTCCTGTGAATTCCTCATTTCCTCTAACTGGTGATCCAATAGGATTCGCAACCAAACACACTTCCCGCACACTTCCATCAGTAACATGAAAACTTTCCCTAATCTTCCATGTCCGACGGGAAGAGCACAGTACTCTACTAAAGGCCATCTTTGCACCTTGTAATGTGAAAAAGGCCAAAAGAGACAAAAGGACAGAAGGCGTGATCCTTTTTTCAATGATTTTCTGAACGTTGAGTCTCAGTTCAATTAGTTTTGCAAAATTCCTGCTTTACCGCCTTCTTGCTCTCGGTGTTATCTGGTTTTTCTCCTACCTGGCTACCAATCCTTAATAGCTATTCCTTGAAAATTTGAGACCATGAAGTGCCAGTTATGCATCTCCCATCAATGTCCGTTTCATACCTGTCCCCTACAGAATGAGAACTTAGAGCTAAGGAATTCTGACCCCACCAGTTGTAACTTACTCTCTGCTCCCTCCACATCTCCATTTTCATCACGTCAAGTAACCTGCAGTGTTGTTCCTGCTGTAAGCCCATTACCTTAGGTGAGATTCCTTATAAGACCAAGAAGATGGAAATATTGAGCACTATACTGTTATCTGTGGTTGGCCACCATAAATCAGTATGTGTGACTGCATACGTTATATTGTGTAAAACAATATTTTATCTGTCATGTCAAGAACAACGTCACAATAATTATGTCATATCTAATTGAATCCATCAAACTGCTTCATGTAGAGAATGCAGGAGTGAAAAGAAATCTGTCCATACCAATGGATTGTGTTGAACTTGGCAGAAAGCTAGGAATTTAAAGCGTTTACATGCCAGTTTAGAAATAAATTGTCCAAGTAATAGATTTTTAAGACCCTCCTACTTATTGCATTTTAGACCTTGACTATACCTCTGATTGTATATATTCCTCAGTTCTAATTTTCTGTAACTGCAGTGTTCCCAGCTGTTGACTCAGAAAATAGTTTTAAGTTATTTGAGGCACAGTTCCATCTTAGCAGCAGAATGATATGTAGTGTGTAACATGATATGAAGCTCCTGTCCTTTATAAAGCATTTTGGTCAATGTTGTAGCTGATGCACTAACTTGAAAAACAAATCAGTACGACAAATTTTTCAATTATGAAGGTTTATTTAATTAAAGTATATTTTTGGAGTTAGAAGTTTATCTTCACTTTTTGGTTATGTCTTTATATCTGATTAAATTATTTCTATTTCACATTTTGTTATACAGCTGCACATATTCTTGGTTATTATTATTACTGTTTTCTTATTTGGAGGGATATGGGGGAGGCTGGTGGAACTAGTTTAGTTTGGGATTATCCTCGGCATGGACTATTTGGATTGAAGAGTCTGTTTCCCGCTCTATGATAATATTAATGTCTGTCTTGTGTTTTTCATTAATTTTCTAGGTTTTTTTATTTTATTGAAATGAGCATTTGTTATATATGTTACATTAAAAAGCTAATCTTCTGTAAGTTCCTAATTTGCAGTGATCACCCATAACATATTGCAATAGTAACTTCTTTTTAACCAAGCTTTGGTTTATTTCATTATTTAGTCAATCTAAAAATGGCCTTTCCTTTGAGATAGCTGAACTGTATTTTAGGTTGTGTTTCTTTAGGATGGAATATTTTCGATCTTTGTCAATAAATCTATTATATTACTTATAGCTCGGAAGACAAAGAAATTGAACAAGATGAAGGCACCACATACCACCACTTCAGAAACTGCAGTAAAAGTAGCATCACCGGATTCATCTTTAGTTTGTTCTGCAATGCCTACCCTGACTCTTCCCATGGTTTCGATTCTTGAGATGATTGAGCCAGATCTCTTGTACGCAGGATATGATAGTTCCCTGCCTGACACACCCAATCGACTCCTATCAGGACTGAATAACTTGGGTGGATTACAGATGATCTCAGTTGTGAAATGGGCAAAGTCTCTACCAGGTAAATGACAAAGGCCTGTCCTCCAAGAGAAGCTTTGAACATATTGGGGAAAGGTTTTTATGTAAATCATTTCCTTTTTCTTGAGAAAATAAAATTCTCTTTTAATTATTTCCCATGCCTCCCTAAGTTGTTAAGTTCTCACATTCTTCTCCTCCACATTTTCATGGGTGTTGGTTGTCTTATTATGAAGATAAGTTTGAAAAATTATTCAATCATGAGGAACATTTCAAACGAGTTTAACATTGACCTCATTGATTTCAAAATACACTTCTACAGTAAAAGGAGAGAACTGGGATCGAGAATCCTAGCTTGGAACAGGTATATGACAATCAAGAAAAATTTCAGTAACCAATATGCCTGATATCTTACTTGGTACATGCATTTTAGTGTTGTATAACTGAAGCTCCTTGTTGAATGCATCCCTTGTGCCTTTCTACTATTAGTAATGGGTACTGGATAACACCATAAGGTAATACCTTATTTCTTCAGCAAAATTAGAATTATTATAGAATTATTATTATAGAAACCAATTATTTTTACACTAGTACATTAGAGATCCAGAATTTAAGACGCATTATACATTATAAAACCCAAGCTTGACTTTGCATCATGTGCTGCTCTTATTTTTAGAGTTTTGTGCTACCATAAGATTGAATAGAAAGTATACTGTTTTCTGACACTTGCATCTCAATTATTCACGGCAAAAAAAACTCCCTTCTCATGTCTGTTCAAAAATTAAGTAATGTACAACCAAGAAATATTTTTGTTAATAATGTCATTGCAGTCTTGATTGAAGTAATGATGTATGAATGTAAAACTGAACAGATGGAAAGATGAAAAGCCATTCAGCATATTCATAGAATCCCCACAATGTGGAAAGAGGCCATTCAGCCCATCAGATTTACACTGGCCTTCTGAAGAGCATCCCACCCAGAGGTAGCCTCCCACCCAAACCTTGATGCGTCACATTTACTATGGCTAATCCACCTAGCCTACATATCCTTGGTCGCTACAGCCAATTTAGCATGGCCAGTCCTCATAACCTGCCTATCTATGGAAAGAAACTGGACCACCCAGAAGGAAACCATGTAGACAGGAGGAGAATGTACAGACTCCACACAGACAGTCACCACCATGTCTCCCCGCACGTGGACATATGCTGCATCACAGACTCTGGCCAAGCCAGTGTGCTTTCTAAAGGAAAAGGTGCAAATTATATTAAAAAAAAAACTCCTGATTTTGATTTTCTTTTCGCTTGTCATGTTCGAAATTTTTAATAATGGGATGGATTAAGTACAATAGCAAGAAATGATCTTGGATTGGATTGGAAGGTGTAGAAATCAGTAAGCGTGGAAGTAAAAACTAAAAGGGGGAAATAGACACTTATAGGAGTATGCTTTTGACCCCTTACAGTAGTAATACAGTAGGACAGAAGAGAATTCGGGAGACAAACACCCATTCCCATTAGTCATGAGTGACTTTAATCTTTGTGTAGATTAGGCAAGTCAGAGGTACCATGAGGAAGAATTCATATAGTGTACTCAGGGCAGTTTCCGAGAACAGTATTTGTGGAATCCAGCCACGGATCAAGCTATTTTATATCTGGTGGTGTATAATCAAGACAGGCTTAATAAATGATTTCAGAGTAAAAGATCCCCTAGGATACTGTCACCATAACATGATAAAATTTAGCATGCAGTTTGAGAGGGACGAACTGGCTTCAGAAATAATGGTACCAAGCTTAAATAAGAGTATTTTCAATGGAATATGGGCAGAGGTAGCTGGAGTGGACTGGCAAAGGAGTTTAGCAACAAAGATATTTGAAGAACAACGATCGATGTTTAAGAAAATAGTTCATAGAAGGATTCTCAGCAGCGGATAATCCAACTGCAGTTAATGAGGGAAATTAGGGATAGCATCAAATTGAACAAATAAAGCATAGAATGTAGCATGGATTGGTGGTAACTCAGAATATTGAAAAACCCAACAAAAGACAATCAAAAAATTATGTATTTGATACTTAGAATCTCAATGGCTTTGCCTCTAAAGAAATGTAATAGCATTTATGTACAGTAGAAGTGCAGTGAAGGCATTCTCAAAAGGCAACTTAGGCAATTAATCTATGTGGAGTAATGGTATTTGAATGGCCAAGTTCATTTCTTACAAAGAGTAAAGGAAACTGTGTTTAAGATGGATAATGCATTGTTGTCTTTCAGTCACTTATTTTGGCATCGGAATAGAATCATTCTGATGATCATTAATCTGCTTCTACAGGGTTCAGATCTTTGCACCTGGATGATCAAATGATGTTACTGCAGTATTCTTGGATGTCTCTAATGGTTTTCAGTCTTGGTTGGCGATCTTATCAACATGTCAATAGCAATATGCTCTTCTTTGCACCAGACCTAATCTTCAATGAGTGAGTATTATATCTCAACTTCCTTCAAAAGCCTGTAGAAAATTTTTGCATTCTCAATTGTGGATACAAGGAAAATCAAAATAGTCACTTACAGCCATGACTTTGAGGGAGAAGAATAAAATTTATTGTTGCTATGCTATAGGGCTCAGGTAAACATACAAAAATATTTATGCTTTTTATGGCAAAGAACAGAAATCTGAGTCATTAGTCATTATTATTTATAGTAGAGGGTGAGCTATATTAAACCATATTATAAATCATTCAATAACCTTTTGTGCACCTCTAGATGGATTGAACAAAAGTGAGAAGGTGCAATTTATACTTTCAATTTAATATAGATGTTTTTTTAAAAATGATTATCTTCAGTTTTCCATGGGCACAGAATTTAGTGGTTGTCATTGACCATCTTTGTGTACTATGTATATCCCTGTGTACCTCCTATATTCAGTAATTTCTATTTTGAGATATTCTATTTATTCTGCCTATTTCAATTTTTAGATGCAATTTCTGGTGCCACAGAACTCTCTTTACAGTAAAAACATGAGAATTGGAAGTTGTTTTTAAGAAAAAGTGTGGGTTATGCATTAATTTGAAGTTAAGTTATGAAAGAATGGAATTGGGTGAATATAAAAGTGATTTCAGAGACAGCAAAAACATCTTGCAAGGAACTACAAAGCTGTGGCTTTCAATTCCAGATCTGTTGGTTGAGGCAGAAATTACGTCAGCGTATAATATTGGATCAGGTGGTTAGTGGCACGATGACTCAGTGGTTAGCACTGCTGCTTCACAGCACCAGGGACCTGGGTTCGCTTCCACTCTTGAATGACTGCCTGTTTGGAGTTTGCACCCTCTTCCTATGGGTTTCCTCCCACAATCCAAAGATGTGCAGGCTAGATGGATTGCCGATAGTGTCCAGAGATGGGCAGGCTAGGTAGACTAGCAATGGTAAATGCAGGGTTACAGGGTTTAGGCTACAGAGGTGGGTCTGGGTGGGATGTTGTAGACTCAATGGGCTGAATGGCCTGGTTCCACGCAGTAGGAATCCTATGACTGAGGGAGAAGTGTTGAAAGTATTGTTCGGAATATAGTGGGAAAATGCCCAATTAAATGTTTGTGACTGAATGGTCTAGTTTCCGAGTAACATCGAAGTATTTCTGTTTTCCAAAATGAACTTCAATTTGACAAAAGTTGTGGTCACTGTTCTGTCATTTCTTCTTACCTGTCTCTGGTACTATTGGTCCCTAATTACTCACATTGACATGATTATGATATTAAACAACATTGTTCACAAAATTTCATTAATTATTTGGCACATATTTTCTGATTTTTTTTTTATTTGAGTATGCCAGATCAAGATATGACAATAAGGGAGCATCTTAAAAATAGTGACCGTGATTTCATTAAATGTAACATTAGAGTTAAGGGAGAGATAAGGAATGAGATGGGTGAGAGATTATAAAGATATACAACACAGAAAAAAGGCCCTTTGGCCCATTTTGTGTCCATGCCAGTCAAAATCAACTACCTAATTCCATTTTTTAAGCATTTGGCCCAAAGGCAAATGCATATCTAAATCCTTCTTAAATATCATGAGAGTTTTTGCTTCTACCACCCTTCCTGATAGTGATTTTCAGATTCCAACTACTGTCTGGTTGAAAGGGTTTTTCCTCACGTCAATTCTGAGGAAGGGTCACTTGACCCGAAACATTAACTCTGCTTTCTGTCCACAGATACTGCCAGACCTGCTGAGCTTCTCCAGCAATTTCTGTTTTTGCCTCTGATTTACAGTACCCGCAGTTCTTTTGGGTTTTTTCCTGTAAACCTTTGTCCCCTTGGTCATTGATCTTTCTATTCGAGGAGAAAAGTTTCTTCCGGTCTATCCTATCTATGTGCCTCATAGTCTTATACATCCCGATCATATCCCCTGTCAGTCTCCTCAGCTCGAAGGAAAACAACCCCAGTCTGTCCGATCTCTCATCGTAACTGGAACTCTCCAGCTCAAACAATTTTTTTTGTTCATTCACTCATGCAATGTGGGTGTCGCTGGCTGACCAGCATTTATTGCCTGTCCCTAGCTGTGTTTGAGAAGGTGGTGGTAAGCTGCCTCCTTTGGCCACGTGCTGAAGGTTGACCCACAATACTCTTGGGGAGGGAATTCCATGATTTTGACCCAGCAACAGTGAAGGAATCTTGATATATTTCCAAGTCAGCATGCTGGTAAATCTCCTCTGCATCCTCTCCGGTGGTATCACATCCCTCCAATAATATGGTGTGCAGTTCTGCAATCAATATTCTAGCTGTGGCCTCAGATTTTATACATTTCCAGCATAACCTCCCTGCTCTTAAACTCTGTGTGCCTTGACTATTCGAATTGAATTCCATTTGACTTTGATCGGCCAACTGACCAGCCTCTCTCTATTCCCCTTTATAGTCTAAAGCTATCGTCCTCACTATTTGTCAAATGACCAATTTTTGTATTGTCTAAGAACTTACTGATCAACCCTTCTACATTCAAACCTAAATCATTTATATAAACCACAACTGGTAAGAGCCACAATACTGAATCTGTGGGAGCCACAAACTTCCAGTGGGTAAAACTCCCCTCAGCTGTCATCCTCTGCTGCCTGCCACTCAGCCAATTTTGGATCCAATTTGCTAAATTTCCTTGGATCCCTTTGGCTGTTATCTTTTCAATCGGTCCTCTATGCAGAACCTTGCTGAAGTCGATGTAGCCTACATCAAAGCATTGCTCTCATTCACACACCTGGTCACCTCCTGAAAAGTTCAACCAAGTTGGTCAGTCATGATCTCCCCTCAACAAATCCATGCTAACTGTCCTTGATTAAATCCTGACTCTCCAGATGCAGATTAATTCTGTCCCTCAGAATTGTTTCCAATAGTTTTCACCACCACTGAGGTTGAAGTGTTTGTTCTGTACTTGCCTGGTTTATCCCTTGCTCCTTTCTTGAATAACAATACCATGTTAGCTGTCCACCAGTCTTCTGGCACCTCTCCACTGGCCAGAGAAGAATTGAAAATTTTGCCAAGTACTCCTTCTATTTCCTCCCTTGCCTCACTCAACAACCAACTCCCAACTGAATTTTTAAATTTAAATAAGAAAAGCTTTTAATAGGATGAGAAATAACTGAACTGAAGCAAGCTGGACTGAACTGTTAGTGGATAAGTCTACAAACAGTGGTAACTGTTCAAAAAATATTGATATGATAAACCACTGTATACCTATTAAAGAAATTGACTCATAGGTGCAATTAAGCTATTTTGGTCAACTTGTATTAGATAAAATAATAAGCTAATGGAAAAGCTTATGTAATGCAAGGAGAAATAAAATTATTTCCAATTACTTATTATAAAACAAGTGTCTGTATTGTCTTAAAGAAATTGTTTGTAACTGGAATAAAGTTGATCCTCATACCGAAGTCTTTTTATTATACAATACTATTGTTGTCTAAATGCTTTAAAATAGCTGGAAACTTTATCCTAATTCAGGAAGGTTGACATTTCCTGGGTGTGTCAGGGGAGTAAATTGGTGATGCTTGAACTAATTTTACATAACTCTGGAAGGAGGTGAGATCTTTGTCACATTAGTGTGGACTGAATTTGAAGCTAAACTGTAAAAGGAGTACGCCATCCAATTCTCTTAAGGTGTAACACTCAAACCATTTATGTGCAAATTATAGAAGTGTACTTGGTATTTTGGGGCTATTTTGAAACTTAATATATTTGTCTAATTTGTACAGTTGAAAAAAGAACTAAACTTTGTGATCTATATGTTGATGTGATGAATATAAATAATCTCCAACAAATACATGCTTCAGTACAAACTTTGCACTTTCACTATTTGTAAATCATATATACTGCAGGTCCTGAACTCTGATCAGCTTTGTCTTTAAAAGATTCCTACATGTCAGGTGTTGATTTACCCTCCAACAACCAGCCCCAATTTAATTTCTTCAGTTTCTACCTGATACTGTTGTAGTCAATCTTGCTCCAATTTAGTATTTTTACTCAAGGCCCAGTCTTCATTTTATCCATAACTGTCTTTAAACTTAGAGTTATGAGTACTGTTCTCAAAATGCTCCCCCACTGAAACTTTCATCATCTGTCCATGCTCATTACCCAGTGCAAGGTCTAATAAAGTCCCTTCCCAAGTTAGACTATCTACATATTGTTTCAAGAAATCCTGTTGGATGCAACTAACAAATGCTGTCCAATCAAAGCCCCTGGCAGTATAGGAAGTTAAAATCACCCCTTACAACAACACTGTTGTTTTTACATCTTTCCATTATCTGCTTACATCTCTGTTCCTCTATTTCCCGCTGGTTGTTGGAAGGCTGAAAGTATAACCCCACCATAGTGATTGCACCTTTCTTGTTCCTACGTTATACCCACATAGCGTCGCTAGATGAGCTCTGTATGATGCCCTGTCTTAGTACAGCTGTGACATTCTCCTGAATCAGTAATGCAACTCCCATACCACTTTTATATCCCTCTCTATCTTGTGTGAAACATCTAAACCTTGGAACGTTGAGCTGCCAGTCAATCTCAACCAAGTTTCTGTAATGGCTGTCACGTCGTAGTCTCAGGTGTTCACCTAGGCTCTGAGTTCATGTGCCTTAACTGTTGCATTCCTTGCATTAAAATAAATACACTTCAGACTGCTAGTTCTGTCATGTTCATTAATCTGGCCTTGCCTGTTCTTACTGTTAGATTTACTTGGCTTAACCTCTTGTCTTATCTTCAGTCATTCCACATGCTGACCTACAGCTCTGGTTCCCAACCCCCTGCCATAATAATTTAAACCTTCCAAGTGCGCTAGCCTCCTTGCAAGGATGTTGGTGCTCTTTCAGTTTAGGTGCAACCCGACCTCTTTGTACAGGTCCCGTCTGCCTTGGAAGAGATCCCAATGATCCCAGATATCTAAAAGCCCTCCCTCCTACACCAGTTGTTTAGTCATGTGTTCATTGATATTATCTTTCTCC